CTTTCACAATGAATTTTAATTTTAATTTTATGATTAACATCAACATTCAACATGTCTTTTATCATTGATAGTCCAACAATAATTTTGATTCTTATTTTATTCAAATAATTCTATTTTAATTTGAGTATTTACTTCACTATTAGAATTTAATAGAATTTCATCCTTTTTAATTTGTTTTTCTCTTATATAAAATGATAATTAATATTTATATTAAAAATATAAATTTATACTATTAAATTTAAAAAATTAATTTACCAATATTTGATTTATCTTAATAAAAAAAATCAAGTAATATAAAATCATTAAAATATAATTACTAAATAAGATTTTATAATTAATAGTTTTTAAATATTTATTTTTTTTTTGTTTAACTGCAGTATATTTAATAATTTATTAAAGTTTTATAAAGAAATATACAAATATATACAAAAAATTATAAAAAAACCTAAAATTCTAATATAATTAACTATCAAATTACTTTTTATATAATATTGTATATCTTATATGTACACTATCAGGCAGAATTAAGATTCAGTAGATAAGAAACATATAGGCTAATATTTTATCTTAAAGTAGTATTCTTTATAATAAAGTCATTTCAAACTATTCAAATTTTGCTTAAAAAGATCCAAACTTTGCAAGCCTCATCAAACCTTATTGATTAATTAATTATAATTTTAGCTAATAGAATTTAATAAAAGCTTGTAAAAGCTTACTCTTTTGGATAAAACTTGCTTAGAAAACACTATTTTAGAATAATGCTTACATTTTTTATATCCATTTAAATTTCATAAAAGTATCTGCTATATTATTATAAAAAATCTTTTCATTATGTTTTATATTACTATAATAATATTATATATCTATAAAATTAAAATAATTCCTCTATAATTCTATATTTAAATTAGCAAAATGATAAACTAGTTAGCTAAACTAATATAAAATTACATCTAAATATTATGAAGATTTATTTAGATTTTTTAAAATATTTTACAAACTAAATACAGATCATAAGTAATATTTCATTAGTATATTAAAAATACTTCTATTTATCTATTCCCATCAGAACTTTGCTTACTTATAAAATAGGTCATTCTTAAACCTAAGAAAAAATCATATAAAATTCTTTACAGATCCTACTTCAAAAGGAAATTTTATGTTATATTATTATGATTTTTTTCTTTTTAGCTAATTAACCAATAGAATTTAAGAAAAAAGTAAGATAAAAATTATTAGTAAAGAGCCAATTTTCTACAGTGACCTTTATTATAAGTAAGCAGGATTCTTTCCCACTTTATTATACAATGAAAATGCATTGATATATCTAATACAAAAGTACTTACAAACCAAAAAAAAAGTATACAAAAAAAAGTAGTGTGTACAAAAATGAAAACAAAAAAAATAAAATGTAAAAATAAAAAAATAGTTAGTAACAAAATTACTATAAGTACTATCTATTATAGAGTTCTGAATGGGTCAGGTCAGGTCAGGTTAATTGATAAACCTGACCTGAAATTTTTTTTCAGGTCAGATCAGATTATATCAGATTATCTGTTTGAACTGACCTGAGCTGAAACCTGAAAATTTTCAGGATTTATATTAAAATATCAAAAAAAAATAGTGCAAAACATTTTTTTTGAAATATTGCAATTCAGTTTTTTATATTAAAATTGTATAAAAAGGTGAATCGCAATACTGCAACTAACTTTTCAATATAAAAAAAATGAATTCTGATATTGCAATTCACTTTTTATATATAAAATTGATATAAAAAAGTGAATTCTGAATTTCTGATACTGCAATTCACTTTTTATATATAAAATTGATATAAAAAGGTGAATTTCAATAGGACTCCGAAAAATACATATAAAAGTTAGAGATGATCGGCAAAATTTTGCCTTAAAATAAGCAAATATTTTTACTAAAATCAATACGTAAAGTTGACTTCTGACTTTATAATTTATATTAGAATAAGCAAATTTTTTTTATGACATTTGTATATTAAAAAAATGAAATTATAGCTTTTTTTTAATTTAATTAGTTGTATTTAGAATATACTTCCAGTATAATTGATTTTCAATTGCTAGCATAATGCCAAATTGCATAAATTAATTTGTACTGACGTATTTATTTATACTACTATATTTAATTATTTGATAATTCAAGTATTAACATTAAAACAAAAAGATTCTTTATTATTTTTTTATAAATTATAACAAAAACTTAGAATATTGATAACATTTTAAAGTTAAAGAAAAGTCAATATAATTTATAAAATCATTTCTAAAAGAAAATCCTATTTCTAAAGAAAAAAAATATTAATACTACTTTCACATATAAAAAAAAAAAAATTCCACCCTATTTTCAATTTACTAAAAATTTCAGTTTAGTTTTTAATCTAGAAACCATTTCTAATAAAAAAAACAATAGAAATGTTAATAATACTTCTAAAATAAACAAAATAAAGCTAAAAAATTCTTTACTTACAGTGAGCATTGGAGTTCCAGTCTGAATTTCAAATTTCCTAAGAAAAAAGTAAAAGGAATATTATTATGGTAACATTCCCAAAAAAATTGACTATACTTTTCTCTTAACTCATATTTTTCCAAGATATTGGTATCTAAAATAATAAATTTTAGATTTAAAAAGTTGCTTTTAAAGAAAAATAATAAAAAGGAATATTAATATCATTCTAAACCAAATATTTTTTTTTAATAAAATGGCCTGTTGTTAAAAAAATATAACAGTAAAGGCCAAAAAAAAATTTTTATTGAATAAAACAGTTTGTTATAGACCAAAAAAAATTATTTTATTTTTTTCTTTCAATAAAATGGTTTGTTAAAAGTCAAAAAATTGAAAAAAAATTATCTATTATCAATCAGATTAGCCGTCAATTACGTATTTTCAAAAATTTATGTATTATACTATGCATAATGCTGCTTATTAAGGAATTCCAAGGCATTATGCTGCTAATTAATAGAAAATCGCTGGAATTCCAAGGCGTTATGCTGCTAATTAGTAGAAAATCGCTAGAATTCTAAGCGTTATGCTACTAATTAGTAGAAAATCGCTGGAATTCCAAGGCGTTATGCTGCTAATTAGTAGAAAATCGCTGAAATTCCAAGGCGTTATACTGCTAATTAGTAAAAAATTGCTGGAATTCTAAGGCGTTATGCTGCTAATTAGTAGAAGACCGCTGAAATTATATATATATATATATTTTATTAAAAAATACCATTGACTATGCAAATTAAAATATATGACATATATAAAAATGATTGTTATTATGCAAACTATATATATAACCTTTTAAAAAATCTCAAAATCTATGCAAATAAAATTTTATGACTTTTGGAAATTTTACTAATATGGTTAAGCAAACTTACATGTGACCTTTATATGTATTTTTTGGGGTTTTATTTTAATACTGCAATTCACTTTTTATATATAAAATCGATATAAAAAAGTGAATTTCAATACCACTATTCACTTTTTATATATAAAATCAATATAAAAAAGCGAATTCCAATATTGCAATTCACTTTTATTATATAAAATCAATATAAAAGTGAATTATAATACTATAACTTACTTATTATATAAAATCATAGTTTCAGGTCAACAGGTCATTCAAGTTATATTAATGTTACGAACTGATGCTGAATTGCAATTGCTAAACCTGATCTGAAAAATTCAGGTCAACTTGTCAGGTTACCTGAATTTGGTCGGTCAACCTGTTCAGAACTCTAATCAATTATATTTAATTACAATATTTTTTAAATAGTGTTTAAAATTATTATTAGCTTTATATAGAATTTATACTAAATTATCTTAATTAAAAAATTTATAAAAATAAATTAAGAAATTTTTTTTACAGTTATTATACATAAAATAAATATTTTTTTTTTTTTATTGCAATACATTTAATATTTTATTAATCAAAATTTTTATATTAATATCACAGGTCGAAAAGTGAAAAATCAGGCATCAATCAGTCACCAATCAGGCAGTTTGCTAACTTTTGATCCAGTGATCAGAAAAAAATGAAATATAGCTCATTGGAATCGTCTCAACAAGACGAATCTAATGGTAGTAAGATCATATTTTTAGGATTAATAGTTAATAAAATATTAAATAAAATATAAATGATACATTTTTATTTTTATATTTTACTTAATTTCTCATCAAGTATTAATCCTAGAAATGCGGTTTTACTACCATTAGATTCGTCTTGTTGAGACGATTCCAATGAGCTATATTTCATTTTTTTCTGATCACTGGATCAAAAGTTAGCAAACTGCCTGATTGGTGACGGTATTTGGCGAAAATGCCAATCAGTCACCAATCGGTCACCAATCAGCTACCTGATTGGTGACCAATTGGTGACTGATTGATGCCTAATTTTTCACTTTTCGACCTGTGTATATTGTACAATGATCAAATACAAAAAAAAAAAAGAAAAATATAATTAAGTACTAAACTACTTATCATTTAATAAATAGACTCCACATATGCACTATTACATCAGTAAGATGAATACCAGTGGTGTAGGGTCAACCACCTGTGTGGTGTATGGTGATATTTAGCGGTGTGTAACAGTGTGTAAAATAAGGAATGTGAACTATACACAGGTGATTAATAGCATTTCGACCCACTCCAAATCACGTGTTTGGCCCGTCGTGTTATTTATCACCTGTATAAACTGTCACATAGGAGACCATACACTACACATCTTCTTGATCCTACACCACTTATCTCCGTAGCATTCCTGTTACATATGCGCTAATTTATACCATAACCCTAAATTTTTGAGATAACCCCAAATTTTTATAGCCAATAATAATGATGGTCAATCATCTGACACATTTAGTGTCAATGCTAATCACCAAAAGTTACTATGCAGTATTTTTCAAATTTTCTGTTATTTATAATACTAAAGCGATCTGTTGCACAATTTTTTAACGCCAACTTTTTTATTTTACGCGTTTTACTGTATTTCAATGTCAAATTCTAAGCAAAGACCTTATGAGCAGGAAAACTATCCTGCTTCACCTGAAATAATATATTATGGTGACCAGAAATTTAGCTATACCGTTATTCAAGAAGGTGTTTACCCACTAATTGCATAATTGAAGTTTACAGAAGCGCCCAATTATTTTTCTGTACCTGACAATTATATTATTAAAACTACCTGGGGCCGGTCTAATAACTGTCAAACTATTTAATGTTTCATATATTATATAGAAGGTAATCCACATTACTTAATTTGTTTTGGAAATAATTTTCAGCATCAAATTGTTTTAGTTCAATCTATATTTGATGCTTTCATTGAATTACATAATGTAAGTTTTAATTCAATTATATTTTTATTTTTTATATAAGCTCGCAAAGAAAATAATTTAATATGTAATTATTTTATCAGATAATAATTTCAAATAAGAAAACTGCAGTTTCTGGAGTTCATCTCTATAGACTTCAATTAAAATGTATTGATAGAAATCGCAAAAGTAAACTATGGGCATTAAAACTTCATGATGAATCAAGTAAAACTACACAAATCAGATATGCTAAAGGCCTTGCAAAATGTGTACAAATAAACTTTAAAAATTCAATTCAAGATTACTACAATCCTAAAGACCGCGTTGTTTTAAAGACATTGGAATTTACTGTACAAAATAAGGATTATTATATAACATTTGGAGAAAAAAACCCTAATAAACAAAACCAAAAATTGCAATCAGTGGTTTGTATACAAAAATATTCTATGTGATGTATATTGCTATTTTGCAGTTATGGAATTAAAATTACCTCAGGAGTATGCTGTTTCTCAAACTCACCAAAAGATTGATGTACATATAGAACAATTAATACCAATTAATTTTGTTGACTTAACTCCAACTATTATATCTAATTTTTCAGAAGAATCTGACATAACTGATCTGATAATTGTTGAGCAAGTTAACAGTGCAATTAGTAAAGATGCATATCAGAGTATTAAAAAAATTCTTAAATATATAATACCAGCATATATTCAAAATGAAAAATTAGATCCAACATCGCCAATTATTCATCTTCATATATCTGGTGATGGTCGTAACGTTAAACGAAAGGTAAAACACATTATGATCACTATAGCATTATTAGATGATTCAGCAAAACTTTTTGAGCCAAATTACCATTATACAGTTATTCTTTTCCAGAAACTGAAAATTATTCAACCTTAAAAATTGCAGCAGATACTTTTATTTGAGAATTGCAAGAGCTGAGCAGTATTAGAATGGTCATTAATAATATAGTTTGGAACTTTAAGCTTTATTTTAGCTTTGATTGGAAGTTTTTTGCCACCTACTTAGGTTTTAACGCTGCAAACTCCAATTATTTTTATCCATAGTGTGAGATAACTAAGAATCAATGTGAAGATAGGCAAACTGAATGGATAATTAGTAAAAAGATGAGTATTTTGAATGAAAATCCAAAAGCATATCCAAGTCATCACTCGCCTCCACTTTTTAATATGATTCTACTTGACCATTATGTATTAAATAAACTCCATATTATGTTACGTATTACTGATTGTTTATAGGAATTAGTGCAAGAAATCAAAAATAAGGAATTATTTAATGATATACAGTCAACTCTTGTTATAACGAACCCTAAGTTCTAGACCTCAACTTTGCTATAGGGCTATAATGAAGATTTTAAGAGATTTAATTAGTTAATTTGTTATAGTAAGGGGAAATTTATTATAGTTGTTTGAAAAATTCACTATATCAAGAGTTTGCTATATCAAGGTTTAACTGTAACTTAAAATATTATAATTAAAGAGATGAAACCCTTATAAATCTGATTTGAATTTTGGAAAATTCGTAATACTACATCAGGAAATTTGTTTAGGCGTAATTTAGTGTAATATTTCGAAGGTGGTGTAAAATTTCGAAATATTACACTAAAAACGTAATATTACAAAAGTTTACGCTCTTAAATTTGAATAATTATAGTAATTTAAGAATATCTCGCTATCTACTGATCCAATCAAGACGATCTATAGCTCATTGGAATCAGCTCATCAAGACGGATCGAATGGTAGTAAAATCGCATTTCTACAGTTGATAGAACGCTCTATAGTATGCAGTAAAGTTTTAAATTAATAGAAAATCATCTATCGAACGTAAAGATACGATTTTACTACCATTCGATTCGTCTTGATGAGCTGATTCCAATGAGCTATAGATCGTCTTGATTGGATCAGTAGATAGCGAGATATTCTTAAATTACTATAATTATTCAAATTTAAGAGCGTAAACTTTTGTAATATTACGTTTTTAGTGTAATATTTCGAAATTTTACACCACCTTCGAAATATTACACTAAATTACGCCTAAACAAATTTCCTGATGTAATAATTAGTATTATACTTCCCTTAAGCTTTGTGTTTTTCAAAAATTTAATTTGGCTAAGCTTTTTGATCCAGAATGTGCTGCATTAATTAAAAGCTTATGAAATGGATTTGCTGAATTGTATGACTTTTTGGGAGAAAAAGAAACAAATCCACACTATTTTCGCTTAAAAGCAAAAGAATGGTATGAGTTATTTTTAAAAAAAACTGTGGTGAATCCTGAAACTAATCATATTATTTTAGTACAAGGACTTTACCGATCTTCAGATTTAACTCCTTATATTTATGTCTTAGTGTCGCATATTTGGAAATTTATACTTAAATTCTTTTTCGTGCAGTGCTGTTGAAAAAAAAAATCATAATCATGTTTCTTACTTTTTTCGTAAAACTCTTAAGAATGGTAGAAAGTTTCAAAATAAAACTTCAGCTATTTGAGAGATTATGGAACATGAAAATTAGCTTTTTTTTTATACTCAAAATAATATTTTTCTTTTATATCCTAAACCTCAATATATTCATATTTTATAGATTTTAATATTTTATATAGAATATTTTTGTAAATATATTAATATTTTTTGGCAATTATTGTGATAAAAAAAAAAATATTGTGTATTTATTTATAAATCAGTGTGACAAAATTTGCATCACTCTATAATAAGTTTAAATTTATTTTTGTCATTGTACTTAGAGATTTTGTTCAGATCACCCCTGATGATTTCATTAAACGTCATCTTAATAATGTAATCACATGATTTGCATAAACTTTTATTAGACTTTCATAATTTTTTCCCACGATTGGTTTTCCTTTTCCCTTTTGTTTCAAATATTTTTTTTAATAACTCTTTTCGTCTTTAATAACATTAAAATAAGTAAGTAAAGCTGATTTGTTTCTTTAATTTTTTTTTTCATTATTTTATAAATATTAATGTTTCTAACATTTCTGATAAATTTTTTAGTCTAAATGTTTAATTATTTTTATATGAAAAATGTGTGATTTTAATAATGAATATGAAACCAACATTGAATACAATTATCTTAATAACCAGAATGAGACTTCTGAAGAGTCATCTGTCCAACAAACTCTCCCTCCTCGTGTTGGAATTTCTAAGGGACGATCACTTGAAAAATTGATTATACCTGATAGTGCTTTTGACCAGGCTTCTAAATTAAGTGTTGGAATGCAATTTGAAAACTGGAACCATGCTAATTTAGTATTATTGGCTTATGGACAACAGATTGGCTTTGTATGGAGGATTCAAGATAAATACTTAGATAAAAATGGAGGTGTATATAAGTATGTATTTGAATGTAGACACGCGGAAATATTCAAATCAAAAAAAACAGCAACAGATCCTTCAAAACAACGCAATAGGGAATCAATCAAAACTGGCTGTACTTGTTTTATAAATATGTGCTGGCCACTTAAGTCACAATGTCCTTCGATTACCAAGATGAATCTCACACATGATGGACATTCACTTAATCCAGAAATGATTCAATTTGCTAATGTTTATCGACAAATTCCTCAAGATATAATGAATAAAATTGAATTTTATGTGAATACAATTCATGGGATTAATCAACACACGTTAAGGCAACTTCTTCAAGGTGAATTTAAGGATCACCTTTTTCTTGATAGAGATTTGGCCAATGCTATTCAACAATTCTGAAGAAATCATATAAATTCTGAACAGGATCCTGAGAATGATGCTTCTAATCTTTTTAAAGAGTTACAAAAAATGAAGGAAGATGATCCTACATGGTTCATAACTTATCAATGTGTTAAGAATCGTCTTTTTCATCTATTCTGGATGAGCCCTCATCAACAAACTCTTTATCTAAGGCATCATGACGTTATTTTGACAGATAATACAGCACGAACCAATAAGTATCATTTATTATTGTGTTTGTTTGTAGGTGTTGATGAACATCGCCATTCAAGAGTAATAGCTCAGGCATTAATGTCTGATGAAACTACTTCATCATATATGTGGGTTCTTAATAATTTTTTAGCAGCAACAAATTATTTAGCACCAAGAACAATTTTTTCCGATTGTGATACTGGATTAGAACCAGCTATAGAATCTGTTTTTCCAACAACATGATATTTACATTGTATCTTTCATATAGCTTTGAATATTAAAAAGAATCTAATGCGCTTACTTGGTTCCCAATTCACTGCATTTAAAAATGATTTTTTTATTTGCCGCAATACATTATTTGAAGAAATTTTCGAAACATGATTTATTTCTTTATGTACGAACTTTCCAGAAGCTGCACCATATTTGAAAAATGTTTTATATCCAATTAAGAAACGCTGGGCTAAATGTTTTACTTTTAAGGTAAATATTTATCATAAAATCTGAGTTGCGTTAGAATTAGGGTTAGGGTTATGGTTAGGGTTAGATTAGGGTTAGGGTTAGATTAGGGTTAGGGTTAGATTAGGGTTAGGATTAAGATGGGTTAGATTAGGTTCAGATTAGGGTTAGGGTTAGGTTAGGGTTGGTTAGTTTAGGTCAAAAAATAGTATTAATTGAATTTTTTATCAATATTTGTAGGAGTTTAATGCTGGAATGTTTTCTACTCAACGCGTAGAATCTATCAATGCTATTATTCATAAATTTATGAATTCACATTCAACTTTATTAAAATGCTTCAATGGATTACAGGAAATGTTAGCTTCAGAACTTCAAAAAGCTGAATATCGAGATTATTTAGCCAATTTGCCTTTTATTATTGCTTCTTCTTCAGCAATTCGTGTCTTTCCAAAATTGGTTGAGAATTTAAGAAGTGTTTTAACTGATGAAGTTTTTTCTATCCAAAAGACTCAAATTGATGTTTGTTTTGAATACTATTCAAAATTAATTCCTTCTGATCAATACCATATGTATAATAATGTAAGTTTATATATTTTTTTGTTTAGTAAAATATTTTTATTATCCATTTGGTATTAATATTGAATTTTTTTTTAATTAAAGATTAATGATTTTGATACTTCTGTTTGTCTTGAAGATTGCACAGATAAATGTCAAATTGCACTTAAGTCTCTAATTAGTGACGTAAATCTTACTAATGTTATAGAAATTTGGGAAGTTAAACACATGGCAGTTAATACAACGTCAGTAAATTACGTGGCATTATTTCAAGATCATTCTCATATTTGTACATGTTTACTTTTGACTAGTGAAGGTTTGGTTTGCCACCACTTTTTTCAAGTGATGTTACGAACACAAAAAGCACAGTTTACATTTAATTTGTTAAAGAGTCGGTGGTATAAAAAAGGTGTTGATCTACAGAAAATCAATGCTTTAGATAAATCCGCTAACTTTGTGATTGATACTGGGAGTGAAAGTTCATTAACTTTTATATGTGAAATTCATATTAATGAAGAAGATCTCTTAAGCAATAATTCTGAAGTTGAACATTTTATCAATAAACGTCAGATTTATGGAGAATGTGCAGCATTAGGACGAAAGTTAGCATCCTTAGCATCTGAATTCAACTTAGCACATATTGCAGCTACATTACGAGGTTTAATTCAAGAAGTGAAACTATCTAATAATCCTGTTAATAAGCAAGATCAAGAAATGATTCGTAATCCATTGCAAGTTAATGCAAAAGGAAGGCCTGCTAAAAGATTGAAATCTTCTGGGGAAAATTCTATGGGCAATAGATCTATTAATCGTTCTGGTGATGGATATACACTACCCTCCCAAAAGTATCCGGTCAAATAATAAAGATTATATTTTTATTAATAATAATTAGTATTTAGTTGGCCATCCATTGTTTTTAATGCATGCTTCAATTCGACGTAGCATGCTCTCAATTAAATTAATATAAGTTTCGGATGGAATTCTTTCCCACTCTTCTTTTAGCTGTTAATCCAGTCGTGTCCTAAAATTTCCAAAAAGTACTATTACAGACACGATTGTTCGATACAAGAATTTTAATTCTGATAGCTTCATGTTCTTTCTAAAGGCCAATAATTTGCTCAAAACTCACTCAACTCACGAGTTTTTCCCATTTTAAAATAGCCAAGTGGCGTAGTGAACAAAAAAAGTAAAGATCGTCATTGGCAAAATTAAGGCGTTATTATTTGTTTTAATCGCCAAATCTGGTACATGCATCATAACACAATAAAAATACATCCATTTTAATCTTGAGAATTAGGGGAATTGGTTTTTTTTAAAAAAAATGATAATTTATATATTCAATTTTGAGAAAATCGAAAAGAGCTTGACCGGATACTTTTTGGAGGGTAGTGTACATGTCGCAATTGTCTTAAAGATGGCCATAATTCACGAAGCTGCAGTGCACCATGTAAAATTTGTAAGGAATCTGGACATAATTATTTACGTTGTCCAAACAAGGAGAATGTATAATTAACTTGTATTATTACTGCAAAAATTCTTTATTAATTAGTTACATTGTTAATCATATCTTTATTAATCATGTACAAATTTCTTGTAAATTAATATTAATTAATTGATTGTAATAATTATTTGCGATATTTTAATAAAAATATATATGAATACATGATTTATATACTGCGCCAAACGAGGATGGTATTTTAAGAAATCATCGGGGATGGTGGATAAAATTACTCTTGTACTTAAAATATATTTAGAAATCAATTTTTATTTATTATATATATATACGTGTGATAAAAAATTTTAATAAATTTTTCTACTAATAAAACAAAACAATTAAATATCTATTTAAATTTGTTTTACCCAAAAATGCATATATATAAAACCCGCTTCACAATAATTTTCTTTTGCATTCTTTTTAGCTTTAATCTTTCATTCAATAGTGATTTCTCCAGGATTATATTTTGATTTGCACCTTTTAGTAGTTATACCTTCAGCACAATTGGCCACAATATCTAATGGATTATTTTTTAAATGTTGAAGTGGATTATTAAACAAGACAATATAGGTTTGATCATAAGATCTTTGATCTCATAATGGATTATTTAAGATTTCACTTAATGTTTGATATCCAATAGTGCCTTGGAAAATACATTTGTAAATATTTTTATTGCTATGATGGTGAATATATCTTTTGAAAATATCAAAAAACTGATGCTCAATACAAGCAAGAGATACTAATTGACAACCTCCCCTTTTAAACCTATTTGGAAGTTTGCAATGAATTAAATAAACCAGGATATTTTTAAAATTTTTATTATTTATTTCTGACAAATTATCTGAATTATTTTGCAGAATGTTATATTTTTTCACAATAGTCAAATATCGTGAAAATCTGCTTTGCTTCTTGAATATTTTTTGACAAGCAGAACAGGAAAATTCTGATGTAGTTATGAATATACATGAAGTCGAAATTAAAGTCCAAAAGTAGAAATATTTCGACTTGGGAAGGTCAAAAGTCGAAATTAAAGTCAAAATAGTTGAAATTACATTATAGTCATGTGATTTTTATAATTATAATTTAATATAAAATTTTAACTGTAAATAACTCCGTCAATATTGATGCTACAAATATAAAATATATATCATTAGAATCCTCTCAATGAGCTGAATCCAACCGTATAAAGATCATAAAAATTGAATCACTGGATGCGGAGTTCATTCATTAACTTTGAATTTTAATATCATTGTTTACTATAAAATCATATGACTATGATGTAATTTTGACTATTTCAATTTTTGGAGGGGTTCAAGTCAAAATCATTTTGACCATTTTGACCATTTCAGAGGTCAAAATTAACCAATTTTGGTTTCATGTATATAGATGATCGCCATCATAGTACAATTGGAAAGTATTATCTGTTATCGCACATATATATGTTCTTACAGTCATATCTATAAATCAAATTCTACTAAAGATACTGTTACAAAAAAAATTAGTTGTCCATTTATTGTTAATGCATCAAGCCCAACGTTAAAAAATCCTAAGGAATATATGTTTATTAATAAGATAGTTGAACAACATAACTATTCTTTAAATATATCAATAGTTAAATTTGAAAATTCTAGAAAATTTACTGATTCAATGATTGAAGATATTAAATTTATGACAGTTTCTTGTAAGTTTAATACTACAGTGCAAAGAAAATTCCTTGCAAAACAGCAAATTAGTACTCATTCAAAACACTATTTTTACTAAAGATATTTATTAATTGTTTATTAAGATTAGAGACAATAGCTTTTTAAGTAATTTTAAAAAGCATTATAAGTCTTATATTTGACAAATTATTATTGTAAATTTAGGTTTAGGGATAAGGTAGATAGTAATATATCTTTAACCTTTAGGAATAATATTTAATTTAATATAACAATTAACAATTAATAAGATCAAGCAATTGATATGAAATTTATCGCTAAAATGGTTTAATATTTTATTAGAAATGTTAAAAGATCCAAATATCTTATTAGTAGAAAGCAAATAAACTGTTTCTTTTCATTTATTTATTGTAATATAATCCATCAAATTATTGTAAATATTATCATTAACATTAATTTTTTAATAATAACAGTTCTATTTCTTATTACCTTTCACAAGTCAAAAAGTGAAAAATCAGATATCAATTAGTCACGAATCAGGCAGTTTGCTAACTTTTGATTCAGTGATTGGAAAAGGATAAAATATAGCTTATTGGAATCGTCTCAATAAGACGAATCTAATAGTAGTAAAATTGCATTTTTAAGATTAATAGTTAATAAAAAATTAAATAAAATATAAATGATATATTTTTATTTTTATATTTTACTTAATTTCTCATCATCAAGTATTAATCCTAGAAATGCAATTTTACTACTATTAGATTCGTCTATTCCAATAAGCTATATTTTATCCTTTTCTGATTACTGAATCAAAAGTTAATAAACTGCCTGATTGGTGACGATATTTGGTGAAAATGCCAATCAGTCATCAATTAGTCACCAATTAGTTACCAATCAGCTACCTGATTAGTGACCGATTGGTGACTGATTGGTAACCAATTGGTGACTAATTGATACCCGATTTTTCACTTTTTGACTTGTGTTTAAGAACAGAAGATTTATTAGTATTGATTACTATTTAAAAGTATTTGTTAACTTTTTTTTTTGTTTAATAATATATCATTACTATTGTTATCTTTTTTATACATTTTGTTAATAATAACAGAATCCTAGATATTATATATATAACTTAGAGGTAAACTTTTCGCAAATTGGCCTTAAATTTCAAAAAAAATCAGTATTTTGTGATTATCTCAGTATTCAGTAGTCTAATTTATGTGAATATTTTTTTGTTTTGTAGTTCTCATCAAGTTTTACAAAATAAAAAAATCTGTATAAATCAGATTACTGAATGCTGAGATAATTGCAAAAAACTGAAAATAAAAAAAAAAACAAATTAGATTTTTTTTGGCAAAAAATCAGTTATGAGTTTTATAAAAGATGTTTAAGATTCTATAATAACAATACATTATTCTTTTTCAGTAATCAAATTGATCATTTTTTTCTTATTTGATTTATAATCATCATATTAATTATTAATAAATTCTTTGATTTGTTTAACTTTTTTCTAAATAACAAGTTCTATATATTTAACTAACAAGATAGTTTGAATAAATTGTAAACCTTAATAAATAAACCTTAATAAACATTAGTTAAATTGGAAATATCTAACTTATTGTTAATAATAGATAATACTTTTATATTATCTTTACAATATTTTGCAAAATTTGAATTTTATGATAATATATAAATGGTTCTAAAATTTAAATAAATTTAAATCATTGGGATGATAATATATATGTATATATTATGACTAAAGTTGCTGGAGAAACTAGAGGGTTTTGGCAAGTTGGTGAAATGCCGAAATGGCAAAACTTTACTGAAACTATATGAAAGTCTTATTAAAAAGTTGGCAAAACTCTGGAGAAAAGCGAAACCTGACGAAACTTATTATAAATGCTGAAACTGCCGAAATCTTGCCGAAACTATAGTAAAATTTTGGAGAAACTAATCATAGAATTTTGGAGAGGTTTAGGCAGGCAACCTTAATTATAACTATATAATAGATCTGAGATTTATTGTAAATGAATATATATTTTAATAATAAGATTTGTTAATATTCTTAAATCTGCATATATTCTTGAATTTACAATCATTAAAATCATCAAAATATAATCTAGCAGTCTTATTTTTAATATATTTTTTTATAAAATTAAAAATATTTAATTGTAAATATTTTTAAATACTATATAATATATGTTGATCATAAATGACATTTAAAGAAAAATGACAATTATTGGCTATCATAATTGACTTATTTTTGTATATCTCTCATACTTTTTAATCCATTTCATTATATAAAAAATATAGTTTTTTATTAATCTTAAAATTTCTTGGTTGTTCATCGTAATTGAAAATAGCTGTTTTATCAATAACTGATATGACTAACTTGTGATCTAACTTGTTATTGAATAATATCATATATATTAACTTAAAATATTCCAAATGGTTGATAATATTTCTAGAAAATAATTCTAAAAAGAAATACTTTTTATATTTGTATGCAACACCAGTAATAATATAGTGATAAGCAATATTATAATCTTTTAGTATTTGTTTAATGTTAACTTAATCTATTTTTTGCAATATATATTGTATAATATCATATTTTTTATTAATTCATCTGGCTGCATATTAAGATAAACACTAAAAATGCAAATTCTAAGGGATTGCATAGGATCCCAAATAATATTAATACAACTCATAAA